GTGGTGAGTTTTTAGGACTAAGACAAACGGAACGACTAAGACTTCTATCATCTGCTTACAAAATCCTGTTTATTCCTCTTCTCTGCTCTCAGCGCCCATTGCTGGGTAGTCTTCGCCTCCAGGCTGCTCAGCTCCTTGAAGCTCATGGCCTATTAGTCCGTGACCCGACTGCCTTTAACTTCCTGTGGGTTGTGGACTTTCCTCTTTTTCTACCAAAGGAAGATAAACCAGAGGAGTTGGAGTCGGCTCATCATCCTTTTACTGCTCCTCGACCAGAGGACATAGAGCTGCTCTTCAAAGAGCCACATAAAGTACTTATTTAATCTTTTTTTATTATTACCCTTTTGGAAAATAAAAAAATAGACAGACTGCATTCAGCCTAATGTTGTGTTGCTTCCTAGGTGTGTGGGCAACACTATGACTTGGTACTGAATGGCAGTGAAATTGGAGGAGGTTCCATTCGCATCCATAAATCCTCTGTGCAGCTCCACGTCTTAAAGAACATCCTCAAGGTAAAAATTTCTCTCTTAGTAAAGAGGAAGTGTTGGTTGATAAGCTAAATATTAATCTATTTTGACCTTTACAGGAGGATCCTAGTCTTCTTTCACATCTGCTGGAGGCTCTCGACTCTGGAGCACCACCTCATGGAGGCATTGCTTTGGGTAAGTGAGCTCTTATCTGCAGGGAGCTAATGCTAGAACCCACATTGGGGGACATTTGACCCCATGTCAGAGGAGCTTTAACTAAACAGGATAATGCTGAAACCTTTAGCTTATTTTAATTTAAATTGAGGAGTAACTGAGACTCTTGCAAGAGAATGTTCAAATTTATTTAACATCCTCAGACGGAGAGATAGAGCTTTGACTGGGGCCAGCTCAGTAATTACATTTATACAACAACTCCCAATACACACACTCTCCCTTGGAACTATCCCATCCCTACATGAAGAACTTTCTCACACACAAACATTTTGAGGAAAAACAATCTGAGTTCATCAAGGCCATTCCCGGTTAGTTTAATTTATCTTTCACTTGCCAGATGGATTCCTCAAAACAGCAGTCCTCCCATTCATGCCATGAAGGAGGCTGTGTGAACTCATTCTTATCTCTCATGACCTTCGTTTGGTGCCTGTGAGGCTAAGAACCGACAAATCTCAACATTTTTTTACTCCACAGGACTCACGAGGTTTACTGGCTAGGCAGAAAAAATACATGATATAGAGATGAGCTCATGGCTCCACATCTCCTACCTCTGCTTCAGAGAACACAAAAAGATATTTCTTGTTTAAAAT